TCATCTTTTAGGTCTCCTCCAGTGAGACAGTCCCGCACATCCTCAAAAATACAGCGCCAGTAATGTGGGTCTTCTCCAAAATTTTGGAAGGACAGACATCGAATTACTTTCATGGCTTCTAACAAACTCCTCAAAGGAAGAAAAGTAGCCATTGATTTCAACCAATTTGGATGGTCCTTAACACTATAAGTAACAAAATTTAATTGGGGAACTTTGTTAGACCACCTGCGCCTCTTGACAAATGTAGTCTCCAATCTGGATCCCAAGTTAGGGAAGTATCCCAAAATATTGAAGTTAGCAATAACAAACCAGTCGGAGAACACAGGTAAAATGATAGAGATGAAATCCAAAGTCAAGGCCCCGACCAGCAACCCATAGGTTAGCCAGGCATCAAACTCCTCCAACTTGTAGTGCTTCTTAACTAAAGAGAATGACAACAAGGCTCCCAAGATGCAACTCAAGTTCAAGATGCGACTGATGCACCCAGCCTTGGAAACAATCACAGGCAACTTGGTGTGGAGAGCCTCATACAATAGACTTAGCTGAATTTCCATCTTTAGGAGCACATCTTTTGCATAACAATTCTCGTCTTTGCTTCCGAAGTTTGCATAGCCTTTTAAACGTTGAGATTTAGATAAAAAAGAGCCAAGAAGAGGTCCCCTGATGGTTCCAAATAAGTAAGCTGCAGCTTGTAATATCGACTTAGGATCGGAACCAACAAAAAATTCGGAAGGCCAATAATGCCTATAAAATCGCTGGGCATCGCGATTAACAAAAAATGGCTCGACATCATCATCTTCCAATCCAAAAGGCAAGGGATCTGGAGTTTCCAAATTTTTGAATTGTTCTGGAATATGAAGTCGAGCTACTCTTTCTCCAGGCACCCAATTTTCACCAAAATGGTCAAAGCTTGCTAGATAAAAAGCACGGTTCCGCTCTGCATATTTGATTATGCCAGCAATTAACACCAAGAGGGTTGGGAGCCAAAGCTTGTTGTGTGGGAGGGACATAAGGAAGACGTAGAGCGTAGAACCAACTTGTAATATGAGCCCAAGCAAATGCCTTACCCAGAACTCATTGTCCTCCAAGGCAAAGGACGTGATGGTATCGGGACCACCAAGGTGTAACAACAGAAAGGGTGCCCAAAAGGTCTGAATGTCACCACTATTGGCAGGACTTTTCAACTGGTTGCTTAAGATGAATCCAACGGTGAGCCCCGCAATCCAGTCTGCGAGCAAGTATACCAACCAGATCAACATGTAAACACATTTTCCCCATATTCCCCCCAGGCGCTTTCTTAATGGTGCAAAGAGAGTCAAGAAAACTTGCGCCAGCAAGCTTAGGATGACAAATGCTCTGACGTTCCATGCATCCCAAAGCTTCATGACATTTTCAGAAATAGAGAACACCATCGTCTTCTTTTCAAAGCTTTTTCAAACCTTTGTCTCGCTATAGGAAAGAGAACTTGTGTTGTTCAAAATAATCACATGCAAATAGAATAGATACTAATTAGTCAATTACTCGAGGCCAATTACAAGGAAGCAAGATGAGTACCCAGTTCACTGGAAACCGTGTAAATTTAATATATATTTACTATATATCAAACAATAAATTTC